CCAACCTGAATTGTTCTACGATTCTATGATTACCCTACAGTACCATAGCTGAGCTGCTACAGAGGAGTGTACAGATTCATCTTTTTGTGCAATGAGTCCAGCTGGATTTGGAATGTTTTTCCATTACTCATGTTTTCCTTTACATGGAAGTGTTTCTCATCGGAACTGTACTTTTTTCTGAAACATTTCTTTGTTCCAGTGTCTGCTTTATTAAGTATTATTTTAAAAAAACTTAATATTTTTTGAGAAGAACAAATTAAGTTGAAGGTAATACTGGAAGAGGCAGGAAAATGGTAAGATGAAGAATAAGAAGTATAAGACTCTGTGTCGAAAAACTAGAAAACTACGTGAAAATAAAAGGAAATGGAGATGGTGCTTAAAGAAACATTAATATGTGTGTGCTTGATTGTCTTAAAAGGATAATTAATATTATATTACATTGATGATTTCTTTCATTCCTGACTGAATTTCTTTTATCAGAGAAATACTCAATTTTGCAATTACAGCAGTAGATTATATTTAAAAGTTTAAAAATAAATAAATACTCAAAATGATAGAAAATTCTGAAGATGCACTAATGTTTCAATTAATGAAATCTTCGGTAGCCCATACTCTGTAGCTGTACTTCACCAAAGCATGTGAATTTGACAGGTATCTGTATTTCCAGTAACAGTTAGAAGCAGATTAAGAAATTGATCGGCCAGTTTTGTGGCTCAGAAAGATTATATGACACTCATATCTTTTATTGTGGTGGGATTTTGGTTTTATTTATCTACAGAATCTTGGAGGAAAAGGAGTGCAACAAATCATAAAATCATAGAACGTGTTGGGATGGAAAGGACCTTTAAAGGCCATGTAGTCCAACCGCCCTGCAGTGAGCAGGGACGTCTTTAACAAGGTCAGGTTGCTCAGAGCTCCGTCATGGCTGGCCTTGAATGCATCCAGGAATAGAGCCTCCACCACCTCAGTAATAATTATAAATAATTTTTTTAGCCATTTCACATGCCTAGGTATTTCAGTTTTGCATTATGATCATTACAGCTTTGACTGTTGCTGAATACTTCTAGTACTTCTAAGTGCTAGAGTACTTACTAAGTACTTGTACTATTAAGTACTTCTAGTACTTCACTGACCGTTTCAGGGCCCTGGGACGGTCAGTGAGGGAATCTGGGGCACAGGTTACATTTTCGTCTCTCCTTCCAGTTGTGGGCAGTGACATTGGGTGAATCCAGTCTATTAATACGTGGCTCTGTGGCTGGTGTCACTGCCACAACTTCGGGCTCTTTGGATGGCCTACACAGCACCAGGCTGGCTAGCCTCAAGTGGGAGTCACCTTTCCCAAAGAGGGAAGAGCGCCTTTGCCCAAGAGATTTCAAGGCAATGGTAAATGTTCATAGTTAAAGTTTTATCCAGAGCGCTCTGATAAGAATTGGTTAGATATCATGGCAGAGGTCAATATTCAAGAAAAAGTTTTTTGAGAATAAAGTTATCATGTTTGTCCCAATTAAGATTTTTTTTTTTTCTGGTAGAATAACATTGTCTTACTAGGGAAGCAACAGGGCTTAAAATCATACTGAGTATGTTAAAAAGAAAAATAATTTATGATACATAGTTTTCCTGGAGTTTGAAGAGGTTGCTCCTAAGTGTTTGCAGCATCTGAGCTGAAACATGTATGCTTGAACCTCTCTGAAAGTCTAGGACACAGGTATGTGTAAAGCTTTGCCTCTGAAATGTATGTGGAAAAGAAAGTAAAAAATCTTGGAGGTAGTAATTTTTCTGCTTGTTTGTTTTTATGACTCTTCTCACTGTCACCTTTTTAAAATCTACCTGATATTTCAGCAATAGTATTTCTAGAGATGCTATTTGCAGTTTCAGCTCTGTTCTTCATTGAAGGCTGAGTTCACATAAAAATACCACCCAGTAGTCAATGTATACAACCCCCAAAATAAAATACTGGGAAATATAATATGGTATGTAGTGACTTCTGAGTACCACTAGTTGCATATTCTTATAGGCGCATTCATAACATTGCTTTTTAAAACAAATCATAACTGCAGCTCTGATCCATGCTGGGCACTAACTGCTTGCAAAGCAATGTCTCTGTATGTGCACAGATAAGAAGAGTGGATTTAGAAGTATAATTGGAGAAACATGACAATTTTTTTTTTAAAGAAATCCGATGCCGTTGTCTTCCTCCTCACCCTTTCATGAAAAATTTCACACGTATTAAAATCAGTGGAAGAACAAAACCATGTAAAAGCAATTTCTCTTATTGGAGGGAGCTTCAGTTACTGTACTCTGAGCTGCTTTGCCAGCTTTTTATTTGTAGTGCAGGTATAAAGGTCATGTCCTTATTTCATGTATTAATAAACACAAGTTTAAACAAGTCCTTTGGTTTTTTTATGTTCTGTATAGGTATCAGTCGTACAGATTTCTTGCCGTTGGGCATCATATTTAATTAAAAAACCTCTCTATTTAGAAGCCTAGCTTGATACTTTCGACATTAAGAATTTGACTTTAAGTGGCCCACATTTAACTTCAGCCTGGTTTGGAGTTTCAAGTCATTAACAGATGGTGATGTTTCTATCTCTGTTATAGGGGCATGTACTAGTATTGTGATACTGCTAGTTATTGTAAATATATGTTATTTGTACTGTGTTACAGTTAGTTCATTTTTTCGAAACTAATAGTTTAGTTTAAAAGTTGGAACTCGTATTTGTTTGATGCTGAGAAAATGTTTTTTACAGGTGCTCACAATCTTATAGATAGATAGATAGATATCTTTTATATACTGTAGTTGAGAGTTTTCCATTGAATGTTAAATGTAAAGGTTATTTTTCTTTCCGGTTAGACACACTACTTGAAATGCTTTTCCTTGTGTGATTCATTAAGATTGCTTGAGCCACTCTTGAAAATGAGTAGAATATGTATTTATTAAATGGTTGCTCATGTTCCTTTGTATTGAATTGACTAATAGGGGGTTTGGGGTGGGGTTCTTGTTTGCTTTTGTTTTCTCCTACTGTTATTTTGAATTCCCTGAGTTGTTCTTCAGTTTACAAGAGAAGGCTTGTAGGTTTTTTTTCAGTTACAACATAACTTTTCTGTTTTGCCAATACTTTTTGTTCTTAATGATCTAAGCTAGATGTAATATTGAACCTTGAATGTATTCAGGACTGATAAAAATTTCAGAATCTGATCCAAACCTACTGAAGGATGTGAGAATGCATAACCCCAATCTTCAGTAATGGTTGTGCATCTGACTCCCACTTACAGAGGGAGACTTATTTCTCATTTACCATCATATCTGGTAAACAAAATCTACAGTCAGCTCAATTCTTTCTTTCCATTCTGGCTGAAATCTGATGCCAGTGTGGTTAATAGGAGCAAGCTTTGAACTGCTCATATCAATCTCCCTGGTCCTCAGTGTGTTTTTATTGTTCTAGTAGAATTTAAGCATGGATGTGTTACCTCTGGAGACTAAGAAATTCCTCTTAAATTGCAAAGGGGAAGAATTCTGTGATTGAAATAGGTCCAGTGTGATGTTTAGCTACTGTATTTAAAAATGTGCATACTGAAAATTACGCAGTTGCCAAATTTGAAATTGACATGTTATTCTACACATTTTAATGCTTGCCTGATAGAAATCAGAATGCTCCTCTGGTTTTGAAACAGTATAAAGTCCTATGTTTAATTTCTACCTATTCTGCCTTTTTTGTCAGGAGTCTCTGCTTTATGCAAACAGACGCTTAGAAGCAATTCCAGGTGAAAAGGTTCTGCGAGACAATAAGGAGCAACGTGATCAACAACATCGTCTGAACGAAATAGATCATCAGCTGACATCCCTAGAGAGAAAATTTGTAAGTCTCCTGGTTTTGTCTATATTTTCCCTTTAGTTTGAAAACTTGGAGTTTTATTATTCCGTGTGTTTTTAAAATCAAATTCTACGGCCTTTTGTAAATTCCCTAAGGAAACCCCCAAAGAAATATACAAGCAAAAGTCTCAAATTTCCTTAATCTGTTAAACGTGTTTTTCCATTGTAACGCGTGTTTCTCATTGACCTAGTGTCTTCCCAAGTGAAGGAAATTATTCTTCTCTCTTCCTTCCCAGAGGGGAATAGCATAAACAAACGTATATAAATACATCCTAAAAAGATTTTTTATTTTTGTTTTTTTAATGGCTCATATAATTCAGTGTTCTTTGAAGGACTGGCTCTGATGGGAATGCCACATACACAAAGTTATTGTGTGATTTAGTTTGAATTCATTTAGTGTGTTTTTGTAACTTAACTTCAATACATGAATTTGCTAGGTGCAGGGACCTTTAAAACAGGAGCATGTAAGTAAAATGATAGTAAAAAAGTCATTACTGTTTTAGAATAAGTACATCATGTATTATCCTTATTACTACTTGGAGTCAAAACAGGTAGGGAAAAGGCAATTTAGAATCCAAGAGGATCTCATTATTAACCTCATAGGCAGAAATTATGTTTATTTCTAAGTCATAGAGCCTTATGTGGCTCTCTCAAGTAATATATTACTGTCCTTTTCTCTTTCAATCAATATAATTTATTATATTATTCTCAAGTTACAATAAGGAAATTTAACTAAAAACTAGTGACAGGAGAACCACAAGGACTTCAGGAATCTTTTTACTTATTTTTCAATATACATTGTAAATCTGCTTTTTGATCTGTGCTGAAAGAGATACAAAGCAGCTTATACAGAAGAGAAAATATATAAAACATTTAAAAACCAGATGAATTCAAAAGGAGAGTCCAGAGATGATACAATTGTCATTTGTTTGGCCTGAAAGCCAATGTTGTTATTTGTTTTAATATTGGATCCCTCATAGATCTTCTTAAGAGCACTACATTAGAAAAAACAGTAATTTTTCATGGCTGTGTGTTGTTTCTCATGTGTAGCTGATTTTAGTGTTTTGGGGGTTTTATGTAGTAATAAAAACATTTATATGAGTTTGTGTTAGACCGAAAATCCATGTTGTCTACCTTTGCCTTTTGGAGATTTTTATTCAGCAGTAGGTTTACTATTCCCGTTATCTTTTATCGCCCTCTAAAGGGAATCTGCGGTGCGGCTCAAAAGCTTTGTGATTCAGGTAGCAACATCACCTCAGTGGCATAATTTTAATTACTGATAGCACTGGTGCTCCAATTGCAAAACTTCAGCCACCACCTACCAGGTGTATGGTGGGCAGTGCTGGAATGATGATAAGACTTCTAGCAGGATTAAATCTAATTTGAATACAACTACATGTAGTTCCGCCTTTGGTTTGAGGGGGAGTGAAAGGCTAATTGACACATTCTTCCAATCAGTTAATTTTACATACTTGGGGAGTATGGGAACAAAGACTTCAGACAAGGAACCAGTGATTGCTTTAGAGACCGTTCACTTGGGGGTGTGTGCCGCTGCAGTAAGGCAGCATATTTAGCTCTACCTGTTCACCATATAAAAACAATAGTGGGTGTTCATTTTAATACACTGCTCTCTTATGTTAGTTAAAAGATGGGAGGCAAATAACTGGAAGAATTCTGTGGAACTTCAATATATTGAATAGGTTAATAGGTAAACAGATAAAATAAGTCTGCACATGGTCATCTTTTCCTAGTCGTTGGCCTTTACAGGACTTTTTGTCATTACTGACCTTGTTCATGAGGCACACACAATGTGAGGAAGTGCGTCTGGGAACTGTACGGTGGTGGATGGGCCTGGGAAATACAGTGGGCTGCTGACTCATCCAGATGTTTTGTACACAAGTGGATCAGTTCCAAGTCTTGGTTGGGTTATAGCACTATTGTTTGGTTTCACATTACAGGCAGGGCTTTTTTCCTTGGCTAGATTGTATTTAGAACTCTAAACTGATAGACTGTAACATTAATTCACAATGGTTAGAGCCAGAGAATTTGTCATCTGTGCCTGTGTGTAGCTGGTGGCCAGACTAGTGTTGCTGTGTGCTGTGCAGCACCTGGTAAAGGCTTCTTCAGGGGGACATACTGTGTCTTCTTAGTAGCTCCTGCTCTGTAGCGTGAGTCTGACATCACAGCGCATGTATGTGAAATATTTGTATATTAGCTCCTCTGCGAGATACTTGCTTGCCAGAATAATTGGATGAAAGTCGGATTTTTTCCTTCTAGCAGTAGAGAAAAAAATATAGAAAATGTATGCTGAACAACTTTCAGAAAATACTATTGATACATTCTAATCCTATTTCTGGAAAATACAGTTATTACTAGAGAAGATTGGACAAAACAGCATGGTATCGCCTTCTGATGCAACATACATAATTGTATAACTTTTTTTTATTTGTTGTGGGAAAGTTTATAAAGCAAATAACTCTTAGGCAGTGTGGACTGAGTGCCTCATTTCTATGCCAAAGTAATATTGTGGGCATCAGTTCTGTAATGTTAGCAGCAAAACTGCTCTCTGTTAGGAACTGGGTGATGAAAAGCTAAACTGAATGCTTGGGTTGAGAGGGGAAGTACGTATTTGGCGTGTTTCCAGAATAATTAAATTATTTCTGGAGATGCTGTTTGTTACTCAATAGGTGGCACTCTTCACTGTATGTTAGAAGAAGAATGCCTAGGTGTGATCCTGGGGGATGATATTACTGGTGAAAATGTCATTTCTACAGTACAAAATACAGGTTCTGAGATTGCCTCTCACTTTTGATGTGATTCCAGGTGTGCAGCTTTCAAAGTTCAGCTATTTTTCTAGCTTAGCTAATTAAATTGTCTACTTAAAATTCACATTACATTTAATTTTCTCCTTTACTCTTTCTAAACCACTGTAATTTGCTGCATAAAATTGGCAATAAATTCTCTCCTCTGAGTTGAGGAAGTGATTTGTCAGCAGTTTGGAATGTAGTTTCTGAATGCGTGGTTATGCTGGGCTTTATAATTTTGAAACATAGTATTTTATAAATTTAATGTCTGAGAGATGACTTTTAAAAACGTATGTTAAAGAACACCTCCTATAAAATATTTTCTTTGTGTTGTTTCTTTTGTTTGGTTGGTTGGTTTTGTTTCCTAGGTGGAAATTATGGGTAGTTTAACTAAGCAGAATTTAGCTCTGTGTTTTAGGGAGTAACCTTACAGTAGCTGTAGAAGTAACTTCTTTTAATTCTTTTGGTATATATATAGTAGAATGCTGTATTTTTTCCTCTACTGCAAAATTAATCATTCAAATGGAATCATATAATGGTAGCTTTGCTCTGACCTTCAAGGGGGAGGAATACATTCATCGTATTTCTGGAGCAGGCTATTTAGTAGGTGCTGGCTTCTGAAATGTTAACATTTATGGCCTCTTCCATTACACCTTCCCTCATGTGTGCTGTGAGACTTTGTGGTTTCAGCTAAGTCTGGAACTGAGTACTCAAAACAAGGCTGGAAGGTAAGACTTTAATGTACTTTACAGTCAATATAAACTCCAGAAAATCTGCAAAGTGTTATGCTTGAAGTAATCAAACTAAGGGCTTTGGAATCTGAGTTCTTCATTTATTTTGAAGAAAAAATTATTCCCGGTGAATTAATATACCAAAGAATGTATTGTATGCATTGTGAAATGTCAGTCCAACTGAAATGTATCTGTACCGTGGTTTCTGGGCCCTTGCTGAATTTCTTTTAGGTTTTAGTTTGACCTTAGTTCACTTGTTCTTCATTTGAAACCATGGCTGACTCTCTCCACATTCTTTCATCTTTCAGTTTCCTGGAAACCATTGAGCTTATCTTTGTTTTGTGAATTGCATTGTTAACTGCTGCTTCAAAAAAATGTTCAGCTGCCAAATGCGTGTTGCTGAGCATTAATGAGAAGAATTTTATATAGAAAGAATAATAAATGTAGTTATTTTTCAGTTATGGCTTCTACTAGTTGGCCGTTTGTGATAACCCAGTAGCATGTTTGATGATGTGTTGAATTTCTTCATGGCAGTAGCTTTAAATGCACGCCCAAGCAAGCTCTTAAGTAAGGTAGTTTCATCTTTGCTGGCTACATGTGTGTTTATTTCAAGTGTTTTACACTGGAAGCTGCTGGAATCGAGCCACAGATGTCTCTCTTGGAGTTTTGATTAAATACATAAATAGAAAAACATTTCAAATCCATATTGAATACATATAAATGTGTATATACATGAACATATGTATAATGTTACCTCTTTAGCATGACCGAGATACTGATACCTACCTAAAAAAAAGTCTGCTTACTTGCAGTAAGTACTTTTAAAGCGCAAGCTAAATCTAGTTTGCCTAGTCTTAGATTTAAATTTATCATCAGATGTCCATATGTCTGTAGGAAATATTTTTTTCACAAGTTCGTGCAATTTGGTGATGAGATGCAATATATGATTCTTAGTTATTGAGATATTTTTAAATATCAAATATGAAAATACACATCTTTTGTTACCTGAATAGCTGAACTTTGCAGAAAAGTGAGCAGTTGGATGGTGCAGAACAAGAATAGTAAATATGTAAATGCTGTCTCAAACTTTGATTACTTGTAGGAACTTACTCCAAAGGGCATGATTCTTATCTTCTTGATGCAGAATAACGTATATCTGTGGGGAGGGAAACCTCAGGATAAAATTAATTGTTTAGTGCTGGAGAAAGTCTCACAATTTCATGGTTTACCCTGCATCAAGGTGATGGTGGGGTTTATTGTTAAACGTTATTCCATATTTTTCCCCTGAAACAGAACTAATTCAATATACCTCATATGAAGTATGTATTAGACACCTTCCAGACAAGGAAAATACATTGTTCCTGACTTCTACCATAATTCTCTTCTTCTCCTATAAAGTGAGAAATTCGGGCAGTAATTTGTCAACTAGATAAGTCTTTGATATCCTTTTT